GGATTAAGCACTTGGAGAAGAAGGCCCAGGAGGCTGAGATTAAGGTCAAAGAGCTCGAGGCCCAAAAGGCGGATCTCGAAGAGCAGAATCGCGATTTGAGTTTCTTTATTAGTGGGCAGGAGAAGTTGAAGGAGATGCAGGGAAATGAGGTTATGGGGTTGCAGGAGGGTGAGGTGGAGGGGGCGTCGGTGGAGGTGGGTGAGAAGAAGGGGAGGAGGAAGGGGAGGAGGAAGGGGAAGAAGAAGGCTTAAGGGTGTGTGGTACGAAGTATGAAGGGTGTGAGGTTTGAGGCATTCGTGTGGAGTTTATCATTTAGCGGCATTGGCATGGTCATGGCTATGACTTGGAATGACGGAGTTGGAGTTGTCAGACATCAGATACCCATTTAAAACGTTGAATAGAGTCCTGGTTAGGGCATCAGTATCACATCAATCATCATCAATCATCATCAATCATCATCAATCATCATCAATCATCATCAATCATCATCACAAAACGACCAAATGCTGAAGATAGATGACCTGAATTCTCCCCATCAAAACTCCCTAACAAAACATTATACGCCCCAAGCCCAGTCCATACCCATGCATCTCAAACATTGCGCATAAACAATATAAAAAAAAGGAGCGCAAACAACAAGTACATGTATACACTATACACGCGTTCCATTCATGTATCAGTATGTCGAAAAAGAAGGTCAGAAGGAAGTAAAACACAACGTCGTTGCCCCCCAGGCAAAGGGAAGCCAGCCGTGTCGTGTCGGTCGTGAGAGTCATGTCATATGCTAAGGTCGTTGATGTGAAAGAGGGAGAGATATTCGTTCAGGACCCCAGAAATGCCAAATAGAGAGAGAGTGTCGTGAAAGAGATCCAATTGGGGGGTGGGAGATGGAAAGTAAGGATGCATGCTGTGATTTGATGTTGATTTGACGATGTGACGATGTGAGATGGAATGCAGTGGAGAGGTGATGAACGCCGTTGTATCCGTATTTGCGCCGGTTGGGAAAGCAATGTTGATGGGTTTGCTGAGTTGATGGTGGGTTGATGTGGTATCCAAGGAGATGTCGAGAGTAGCCGTTGGGTACGAGATATCAGCTGATATCCAAAGTGGTAATAGATCGGACAGATAGCGATGTCGAACACCTCAAATCCAGTCATCGTCCACTTTGTTCGTACTGCCAATGGCAATCTCCCGCTCAAAGCCCAGTCCAAGACCAAGCCCGACATCCATTTTAGGGGGTGCCATGAGCTGTGGTGGAGGTTCCGTCTTCTTCTTCGGGCTCTGCTTAGCGGGACTCACGCTGCCGCCCTTGCCATCACCAGCACCCATGCGCACGGTCTTGACGTCCCAGTCGTCTTCGAGGGCGGCGCCTATCCAGACTTTGACGCTGTCGTGGACAGCGCCGTAGTACTTGGGGTTGCAGGCGCGGAGGTGACCTAGCAGTTTCTCGAAGCCTGAGATCTTGAGTTCGGAGCGGAACTCGTTGCGTGCGGAGCGTGTGGGGAGGGACGCCATGATGCCGTTGAGAAGGTCGATGTGCGTGGCAAGGTAGTTGGTTGCGTCCCATTCTACACCGCCGACGTAGGGTGCTGCGGGCACGATGGCGCGTTGGCCTGGGAAGTGAGTTTTCGCGTACGACTTTCCTTCCGTGGGCTTGGGCGGTACGGGAATGACGTTGAGGTGGTGGATGAAGATCCAGAAGACCTCTTTGGTGACATTGGATAGCTCTTTGCACCAAACCTGGTAGGGTCGCTGTGTGTGCATCTGGAGGATGAACGGAACAGTTGAAGCCTGCTTCTCCTTGACAGGATCTTTCAGGTACTTCATCAGCTCCTTGGCGCGGGTCTCTAGCTCGCCCTCTGGTGCCATGGAGATGTGGGCGAAGATGATCTCGATGATGAGTTCACGCGTAGTAAACTCGCTCGGACCTTTGTGCTCCTCGTCGAAAAGCATGGCCAGTAATGCTGGGTACAATGTCGACGAGATCTCATTAAGTTGCTTGAGGGCAGTGGCAGTTGTGCAGAGTCCCTTGAGACATCGAAGGAGTTCGTGCAGAAGTGTGTCTTCGTGGTCTTCGCGCCATTCAATCTCCATGATGCGGTGGAGCAACGCGACCAGCTCAGTCATACCGCCATCCTGGATGAAGTTGTCAACCCAGTCGACGGTCTCGTTACGGATCAACAGGCGCAGCTTGTGCAGCTTGCCAACCTCAACGTTCTGGGGCTTGGGAGTCTTCTTCAAGTAGGAGATGAACTCGTCAGCCTTGACCGATTTCGCTCCGTTGGACACAGAACGATCGGAAGCATTGGATCTCAAGGACCTCATAGACGGAGACTTGGGGATAGGCGCTGGTTTTGAGTTCGTCTTCCGTTCGCCCGATTCGCCCTTCTGCTTCTTCGTGGGAGAGTCACTCCTGTTGAAGGTGAATGTTCGGCTCCGCGGTCGCTCACGCTTAGTAGAGTTGGCTGACTTGTCCTCTTGCGCCTCATCCTCTGCATCCTCGACGGCAGATCCGTGTCGGGACTTGGACGATTTCTGTGGTGCCTGCTTGGTGTTCTCGCCAATAGAAGATTGGGCGGAGTTTGTTCGCGAGGTCTGGGGTATGTCAAGTTTGTGCATGCGAACAAAGTCGGCCTTGACCTCGAGCTTCAGTGTCCGCATCTGAGCACGTTGATGTGTGGGGATGTTTCGAGATTCCTGGTATCATTAGCAGGGATTCATTGGTATCTTCGGACAGCACTTACCAGAACCTCCTCAAACTCGGCGTCTACCGCCTTTGGATCGAGCTTGGCAGACGCCGGAGCACCGTCAGCTTGCTTTGCCTTCCCGTTAAAGGCAGCAACGGCAGCCATGACTCGATTCTGCTTCTTGGTATTGGCTGGCGGCGGCGGCGGCGCCATGGAATTGAGGCTGTAGTCCTTGCTGCCGGTGTCGGTACTAGCCCTACTGAGTACGGGTCTTGCCGGCTTCACAGGAGAGCTCTCCCTTGTGCGTCCCTCATTGCCCTTGGTGTCTGACAGAGGAACGCGCTCGTTGCTCCGCTTGCGCGAGAAGGTCTCAAGCAAGGATGCCGTGGAAGTCGACTTGGGAGCAAACATGGACTTGGGCCGCTCTTTCGGGGCAGGTCGGAGAGCTGGTTGACCGACCTCGAAGAAGTTGCGCTGCTTGGTGGGCGAGTAGTCTTGGGGAGTGTAGAGGGCAATCTCCTCCTCGACGCTCCGTCGCTGATCGTTAAGCGGGACTTTGCTCGTGGTGGTGACTTCCTGTTGGGAGCTGAATTCGGCCCAGATGGGAGTGCGAGGTGGGGCCTTATCGTGGGAAGAGCGGGGTGGTGTAGTGTTCTCCTTGTCTCTGCTCTCCTTGACGGGCGACTTGTCTCTCCGGCGCCCGCCGAACATGGCAGCCAGATTGGTCGACGACTTTGTCTTCTTCGGCTTCTCGCCCATCTCAGCCTCTTCCTGAGATCGCCGTGAGTCGAATGACTTCTTGTAGGCCGGCTTCTCCTTGTCCTCCTTGTTCTCCTTCTTGGCCAGTGACCGCAGCGAGACGGAACTAAGCGTCTTCTTGTGCAGGCTCTTTTTGGGGCTCGAATTGACGTCTCGCGACTTGCGCGGTGAGGGCGGATTGGTGAGAACGTTCTCCGTCTGGTTTGCCGCGCGCAATTGGCTATGGGGGTGGTCTGGCGGCAGGAGCGGCGCCTGGAAGTTGGAGACAGGCATGTACGGCGGATTGGCTATCTGATTGTTTTGCAGCCCAGCGCCTTCGGTCGGCGAACGCTTGTGGCCTTTGTTCGCGATGATAGACTTGAGCACTCCAGCTGCAGCGCTCCTGTTCCGTCTATGCGAAGGTGCGGCGGTAGCCATGTCCGGCGTCGACATGATGCTCCAGCAAAGATGGGAATTGGGGAAGCGTCGACTGAGGTCGGGGCCGGGAAGAGAAGGCTTGAAACGTGGGTTGTCTATAGCAGAAGGATGGCGGGCATATTTGGGGAGGCGATGAGGCACATGTCCGGCATACTTTGTGTTTACGTCGCGGACATGGCGGGCGATCCCCACGGCAACGACACCAGCGCGTGGGGAGCACGCTAGGACCCGCTAGACGCCACATTCATGCGTTAGACATTAAACATTGCACCCGTCATATCTCGCCGTGGTTTCCAAGGCCCTTCTACCATGGCCTGCATCTGGACACCTCCACACCACCTGCATTTCCCCAGTCGCGTCGCGTATTGTTGCCTCCAAACACGCGACCCTCTACAGTGGCACCACCCGCTATCGTGTGTTGACATCGCGAAAGAAGCTAGCACCTAACTTCGGAGGCACTGACCGCTCACGGCAGCGTCACTTGACAACAAAAAATTGCCTTTATGCACCGCAAGCCTAAAGTCGCACTGACGCCAACCGCTATTCACAACACGGGAAGCCGTTGCCGGTGTAGGTATAGAAGCGAAGGATGTATATTGTGTTGTGAAGACCATTGTACAACGCCCACTAGCACATTGGCAGGCACCCAACTATTCCCAAATGACAACAAACCACGATGCCGCCCTTTTCCCTGCGTATGCTACCACCATGCTGTCGTCCCCTCCTTAGAGTTGGTTCGCCAACCCTCTGACGGTCCTTCTGCGCTTTTCCATCTCTCCAATCCGGATCAGCCCGCCCATGACAGACAATCCTTCGTCCCCACACCCAGTCGTGCCAACGCAGATGCCCTTGGTAGTATCTGCACAGTCGCAGACGTTAGGCATACAAACTGTGCCGATCGGGCAGCTGTTTGAGGTCCTGCATTGCAGGATACCTGGGTCAGAACAGTTTGTCGCATCCTTATCGTAACAGACACCAGCGCCATCCATGGTCCTTGCGCACCGGCATGACGAAGTTCCGTTTCTGTTGCACAGGCGGTCAAATTGGCAGTTCGAATCGCATGCGCGAGATGCGCAGACTCCGTTGTTGCAGGTGTTCCCCACGACGCACGCGTTGTTGCAGCGGCCACAGTGAAGAATGTCAGTCGCGAGGTCGCGGCAGGCGCCGTTACAGACACCCACGCCAAATCCTCCGCATACAGGGGTGCTGGGTGTTGCGCTCGCTGTGGATGTAGTCGACGATGTATCCGTAGTTAAGGAAACGGTTGTAGTGCTGAATGACGACGAAGAAGATGATGACGAGGATGATGGGCTGCTAGTCGACGTGCTCGAATCACTGGATGTTGAAGTGATGATAGTGATCGTCGACAGCGAGGAGGACGAGTCTGTGGTGCTTAATGAGAACGACGACGAACTGCTAGTAGACGTGCTCGAATCACTGGAGGTTGGACTTGTGATCGTAATTGTTGGCGGCGAGGAGGACGAGTCTGTAGTGCTTGATGAGGATGAGGATGAACTGCTGGCAGACGTGCTCGAAGTACTAGAGGTCGGGGTAATGGTACTGGACGATGGCAGCGAAGACGATGAGTCGGTGCTGCTCGTTGAAGATGACGAAGACGATGAAGCGCCAGTCGATGTGCTCGAAGCACTGGAAGTCGGAGTCAGAGTAGTGGTTGATGACAATGACGACGAGGAGTCCGTGCTACTCGTTGCAGATGACAAACTACTACTTGCAGATGAACTGGAGTCGCTAGAGGTAGGCGTTGCACTGCTTGAAGATGAGGGTTCAGTACTACTAGTCGAGCTTGTCGAGACGCTGCTGGAGGAGCTCGATATGTCGGATGTGCTTGATAAAGAGCTGCTGGAAGAGCTTTCGGATGACGTAGTAGCTGACGAGGAGCTTGGTGTCATGGAGGATGATGAAGACATGGAAAAGCTTGACATGCTGCTTGTAACAGGGACTTCTCCCGAGGAAGTCGAGGAGCTGCTTGATACCGTGAACGAGGTGCTTGAAGTGGCGGAGGGCTCAGTCGAAGTACTAGATGAGCTACTCGAACTTGTGCTGGATACATCGCTTGTGATGGATGATGATGTGCTCGAACTACTGGACAAGCTGCTAGATGAGCTGCTTGAGCTAGAAGACGAACTTCCAGGTGTTGTAGATGAAGAGCTGGGGGAACTGGATACAGTCGGTGTGCTTGACGAGCTGCTAGACTCAGTCGACGATGCTGAAGAGCTAGAGCTGGATGAAGTTGGCGTGGTAGACGAGCTAGACGAGCTACTACTGTCGGTCGAGGATACTGAAGAGCTTCCTGTGCTAGACAAACTACTAGAAGTCGCGGACGAAGAGATGGATGAGCTGGTCACTGTTGGCATGCTAGACGGACTACTAGACTCAGTCGAAGATGCTGAAGAACTGCCGATGCTGGACGACGATGTAGCCGAGCTTGAAGAACTATCCGTGCTCGTAGATGACGAGAAAATTGAGCTAGTGCTGCTCGAAACACTACTGGGTACCGAAGAAGAGGTAACCATGCTCGACGTTGAAGAGCTCATTGAAGACGATGGCGTGATGACTGGACAAGACGTCCCAGTAATCGAAACGCTGGTATACGTTGTAGTCTCAATATTGGTAACAGTCTACAACGTGATCAGCCATTACCCATTGCACACTGGAAAAAGCTTACGGTTCCAAGATAGGTGACAGTATCTTCGGTGATGCTCGCACATCCGCATACAGATTTGTATTCTTGCGAGGCACAGGCTTGGGTGGCGTATGTAGGCACTGGTCCAAAGACGGTGGTCGTGGACCAGTTGGTTCCGGTTGGCAGAGCTTGTCGAATCCACAGTTTTTCTTCGTCGGAAGTAATGGGCTCATCTGTCGGAACGGGCAATACCTCCGAAGGGCATGGTGTTGTCAGAGTAGATGTCGTAAGAGTAAAGGACGTGATGGTGGTGCTGTAGCAGACTGTTAGTGTGTTCGATAGACATCTTGAGTCGGATACGAACATTGGGTACCAGATGACACTCGTAGTAAGGAAGTCATCGCAGTCTTCTCCAGCCCTGATTATCTTACCGAATCCGCCGTTGCCGAAAACTGCGCGGAAGCAGTCATCCTCATTGCATTGCTGTCTAGTGTCGAGCACGGCTGCCAAAGCCACGGACAGGCTGAGGAAGGTAGCGAAGGTAGAAAGCTTCATCGTTCTCTAGTAACGAGTGTAGGTCGGACTAAGCTGATGAGCACGGCTACCAACCAAAGGAGCTTGGAGCAACCTTTATAAGTCGCCCTCACTATGCCAAAGACTAGTGACAAAGCTGGCGTGACCAAGCCTTCCTTCTGTCTTTCCGAGAGGCCCTCATCTTCGCTCCGACATTCTGGTTGGTGTAGGTGGCGTCGCTGTGAGACTTGACGATGGTCATCATCTTCAAGCAGAAGGCTTCTGACTCAGAAACTAGGGCATTGATCAGTGTCCTGAGATGGCGCATTAGTGTTCACCAAGTCGTTTTCCGTCGGGAAACAGTGGCAATCCAAGGCTGTCGGTCATGTGTCGAGAAGCAGTGGATAATGCAATGTTCTGCCTCGCCCAATGTGTCGCATCTTGCAGAGGGGTTCGACATCATGACGTTTCTGTATACAACTGGACTGCAACTGTAGTAGTGTGATGGCACAGCATCTCGCCATATTGTCGCATCACCAACTTTTATACGATGATCTAGGCTTCCATCGGCAGGTTGGCGTTGGTAGCGCATGCAGGTACAAAGTCGTCAGACCAACTCTCCATGATAGGCTAGGAAGACAGGTCAGCCGCTCTATGCGACGTTCACCTATCATGTCCAAGTTCCATTGTAGAGTGCATGTCTCAACACTTGCGATGGTGGGGGCATTGAAGTAGCAACACTAGGAGTAAGACTGTGGGGTACTTGGCATTATGGCGACCTTGTAGCTGATCGTTCAACTTCTGCCGCAGTGCCAGAATCTGGATGTAAAACAAAAGTCTTAACTCAGTGATTTGCGTCCTTCTGAGCTATTCCTACATTTTGTGCCAATTCGCCCGGAGAATTGAGTAAATGTCTAGATGTACTGAGTGTTGTAGTAATTGCGAAACATGTTGATTGGAGTTCAGGTGCCTGATCATGGCGTTTTGACTAGTAGTAAAATACGTCGTACAAGCTGGCTGGACGTCTGAATCCAAGAGCTATGTGGTAGGCTTACGCCATCACCGTGTGGGTGCGACAGTAGGTACGCGGTCTAAGGTTTAGGCCGGCGGGAGAAAGTTAGCAAAAAGCATTCCCTGTACTAAGCAATACATGATGCTACCTCTGATACACCACTTGGCCGTTCGTGAACGATTTTCTGCCAGGGGAGTACTTTGTGAATCTGCGAACCACGTAGCGACGACTAGATACCACATCGGATAACCGGAGGCAATCCGGTTCACGATTTGGACGTGAAAACTGGTAATGGCTGTTGTAGCCAGTAGTAATTGGGGCAGTGCCAATTCCGGTAGCCTGCATATCGCGGAGGTTCCGTTCCTGGATTTGGCTGTTTCACCAGTCTGGGGTACAGGACGCCCACGCAACGGGCGTGGGACGCCGCTGCGGAGAATGGTGACACTTGATGTGAGGAGCAGCCACGAAACTGGTGCCGCTAGTATGAACAGTGGCAGATTTGAGATGGTCCAGTAACAGAAGAGTCCTACGTTCCTAAAAGAAGTCAGACTAGTAAGTCATCGTATTGGGGTAACTTACCAGTAATGGCTTTGTACCCACGAGTAAATGCTCGGGAAGGTCTTGTCACACCATGGTCTAGTTCCAGTGCCGCTGCTTCGGTCGCAGAACTCCGTATACGCCAGATACTGAGGTCCAAGGAATGCCAACGCTATTAGACTACCAGCCATGCATGTGACAAGCATCCTCCTTACATCTTGTATACTCAACTGCGCAGACATGACGGGGGCAATGTACATGACGACATCGTATAGGAGGATCAAGCCGCTTAGTAAACCGTTACTTCGCATCAGTGTGGCCGCTGCGAAACAAGCACCAGAGCCAAGCTTTTGAAAGTCAGCTCGAATCGATGACATTCCAGTCTCAGCCGCAGTTTGAGATTGAGCATAGAAGAGCATGCCCGCGAAATTGAGCAACGAGAACATGGCTTCCGCGTATGGTGCACTCATGAAAAGGGAAGCTGGCGTAAGGATATGCAAGACAGCGGCGATAAATGGGATGATCTGTCGCCGTTGAGGTTCCAGGACCAAGGTCAACAGGCGATACAGCACTAGCACAGAGAGGAGGTGGCAGATGTTGGAAATCATGATTCCGGCCAGAGCATAGTAGTGCAGAGGAGCCTGCGCGTCGCCAGCCATCACTGCGAGAAATCAGTGCCGACCCAAATGACTGGGCCACTGGTGCTCACATTGACCGGTTAGTCTCAGGAGATGCGAATACGCCCCGCTGAAGGCCCACGCTTGCTCGTGGACATGACCCCGCTCAGCTGCTTTCACAAAGTACAAAGCGTCCCAGCGGAGCATATTGAGGATAAAACGCTCATAGCGGGAGGTGACGTCCAGCTTAACATGGCGACGGGCGCTCGTGTCGAGCAGTATGAGACCAGAGGTGTCGTATCCGGAACCTGGGCAGAACGCGGCAAGCGAGAGAAGCAATAGTTTCCATAAGCAGAATATGGCGACGAGCTGCGCGTGACGTCCTTTCGCGCCGAGATTAAACGCGTTCATGATCTCGCATTGAAGTTGTCGTGGTCGATGATGGATGGCGAGGCACCATGCTCCCATTGGGCGGGCGCTAGCGCCGGCGAAACGTTCTTCCCCACCCGCGCGCACTCGCTTCTCTGGATTTCGGTGCCGACAACTTTTGCGCCCGCTTTCGAACGTTCGTCAAGTCCACCGTCGTCAATCTTTAACCGTCGCCGCCAACACACCAGGTAAGCGCATATCCGCCATGAATGCTCGGTAGCATATCACAATCGCACGTCTCTACATGAGCGTGTCGCATACAAATGATGGCTAGAGTGGAGAGCGGCTGAAAGGTCCTCTCGCTCTTACGAGATTCAGACCTATAGTGAATGAACATTCGCTAATGGTTTCTGTTCTCTATGACAGCCTCGACAATGCCTCCCAAAGGATCCGGAAAGAAGCCTGCGGCTTTCCCCCAGGCCACTTCTAAGTCGTCTGCCGCCAAGAAGCAAAAGGTCTGCCCATTCCCCAAATATTCAACTACAACCGCTCACAATGGAACAGAACCCTCTCATCGAGAAGCGTCCTCGCAACTATGGCATCGGTCAGGACATCCAGCCCCAGCGCAACGTTGGCCGCATGGTCCGCTGGCCGTAAGCAAACCCCGATCCACCGCAAAAATGTAGATACTGATGATGCGCAGCGCATATGTCCGTCTTCAACGCCAGAAGAAGATCCTCAACATGCGCTTGAAGGTCCCACCGGCGATTGCCCAGTTCCAGCACGTTGCCGACCGTAACCTTGCCACCCAGGCTTTCAAGATCCTCAACAAGTACCGTCCCGAGACCAAGGCCGAGAAGAAGGAGCGCCTCACCAAGGAGGCCACCGCCGTCGCTGAGGGCAAGAAGAAGGAGGACGTTAGCAAGAAGCCCTACGTCGCCAAGTACGGTCTCAACCACGTTGTTGGCCTGATTGAGAACAAGAAGGCTTCCCTCGTCCTGATCGCCAACGACGTCGACCCCATCGAGCTCGTTGTCTACCTGCCCGCTCTCTGCAGGAAGATGGGTGAGTACTCCAAATGCGACAATGGGTTTCGAATTTTCACTGACATGCATCAGGTGTCCCTTACGTTATCGTCAAGGGTAAGGCCCGTCTCGGAACGGTCGTCCACCAGAAGACCGCCGCCGTCCTCGCCCTCACTGAGGTCCGCTCTGAGGACAAGAACGAGCTCCAGAAGCTCGTCACCGCTGTCAACGACGGTTACCTCGAGTCGCACCACAAGGACGCTGCCCGCCACTGGGGAGGTGGTATCATGGGTGCCAAGGCCAACGCCCGCATGGAGAAGAAGAGGAAGGCCATCGAGAGCGCTATCAAGATCTAAGCGGGTCCTGATGTGCTTTCTCGATTTCATGATGACTTTACGGCGTGTCTCTTATCTCTGCATATAGTCGGTTCACAATACCAACGGAGTTTAGGAGGGTTAAAAGCGGTCGGCAAACGACTGCATTGACTGGAATCAATCACGATAACGCACGCCATTCGCATGATTTATTGCTTGTGATTATGTTTCGATTATGCATGCTGAACTATGACTACTGCGTCAGCTGCACTCGCATGAGGTAAACTGCTCTGATTCCACTTCCAGTTCCGACGGATGCGACAACCCACCCTAGAAGTTATCGATCCTCGTCCCAATGTTGCGCTCATCCGCTATTCTCACGAGGTCGCTGCCTACAACAACATCCGTAAGCCCCAATCCCACACTCTTATAAATCACATTCCCCTTGACCAGCCACTCGATCAAACTCTTATGCGCCTTATCCTCCCCATCATGATGTTTCTCCTTCTTCCCACTACTTCCCCTCCTGGCCTTCTCCGTCTTCTCCCTCCGATTCATCTCACACTCACCCAACTCCACACCCCCCGTATCCAGGCCCTCCGCCTCCATCAACCCCTTCCCAGCCAAACACTCCCGCCTCCTCCTCTCCGCATCCCTCTTCAACATGACCAA